TGAGATTATTTGGGATTATTTGGGATTATTTGAGATTATTTGGGATTTTTCGGGATTTCTTTTAGATTCCTGAAATTTTTTTTTGAACTTTTAAACTTCTTATTCCTTGTCTATCATTTAAATACCGTATTTTTTATTGTGAAACGAAGTCCTATCATAACAAGGTACATTGATTTGACTAAATTAATCATCCTCTCTCATTCACAGCAGTGACATTCTTCAAGACTTTTGACTAGTCCTCTCATCAAAGTACAGGTAAGAAGAGGTCCCAAAGCGCTCAAAGCCTTCTGTTTTTTATGTGTTCATTCATACTAGGGGTTTTGTCAGCTTTAGTTGTCACGTATTGCGTCTGCTTAGTTATGTCTATCTCAAGAAATATTAAGAATTGTATGTCCTAAAAAATAATTGATCATATTCTCATGTTACGCATAGATTTTTTTTATTTTGCTAATAACTAATGATCAGTTTCATGATTCCACAGCACAGGAGTTAAGAGAAAAAGAGAAAAAAGAGGGAAAGAAAAGAAAACAAGAAAAACAAAAAAGAAAGAAAGAGAGGTGATACAATCTGTATAGAAAAGGGGAGAAGATAGCACATAAATCAAGAACAAGTACAGGTAGTATAACATTATGATTCCGTACTTTATGTGCGTCACATTTCGCTGATTTATGTCTAATGGAAGTTATCTATTGGATAGCTACGCATACATTTTATTTTGATTGTGTAACTCGCTTCAAACGATCAGAAGAAAGAGAAGATTTTTCATTTGTCAATACCCAACAAGCTGTTTGCTTGTGGATATAAACATCAGTAGTGTCATTTTCTCGTCGAACTTTGAAGAACGAATCGGATTGTTTTGGATCAATGGATTCTTTCACACGCATGCCTCTAAAAGAGACATTCGACGAATCAAGAAGAACGTGAGAAAGATCTTGTTCTTCATCTTTATCTTCTTCATCTTCATCTTCTTCATCTTCATCCTCTTCATCTTCATCTTCATTGTTGATTTCTTTCGATGGATCATCAAAGACTTGCTGCAGTTGTGACGATCGACTTTTAAGCTTTGAGGTCTCGTAATGTTTGATGATGAGTTTAGAAAGACTTGCTGTTGTTTTATATTTGCTTGTTTGTAATGTATCTTTACCAATGAGTGGTTCGATTAGTTCATATGCAGTTGCAAAGGCTTCTTCGACTATCGTCTCGATATCGACCGGTCGAAGAGACGAATAGGTAAACGTTGATGATGATGAAGAAGAAGAGGGTCCACGTGTGACTTTGCCATGCTTATGATGTTTGGGAAAGCGAAGACCGGATGAATATTCTTGCTCTGTTTTGATCACCTGAAGAGCAGTTATTTTATCGGCACGTCGTAGGAAATCAAGAACGGAAAAGTTCACGATGTTTGATGACACGCCTGACATTGCTCTTGCTGAGCGAAATACGCTCTCACACGATTGAGAACTTAAAAGCTCGATTGAGAGAGCATCAAATGGTAGTTGACCATCAATAGCAAGAAGAACGAGATATGTCAATGAATGTGCATTGATTTCGATAGAGAATAAACTAGGATTAGTAATCGTAAAATGTCGTTTAGTTTTTATCACGGACGGTTCCGGAGTCGTAATCTTTATAGACGATTGAGATGACAGAGAAGCAACAAGAGTATCGAATTGTGTAGAAAACATTTTTTCGAGTGTCTTTCGGGGCTGGGCATCAAGCCAAACTCGCCAAAATCTGCAAATGAAGACTGAAAGCCAGGCATAGTGAAGACGATCAGTGAGCAATATGTCCTTTGCGCAGTATGCAAAGATGATACATTCAATAAGTTTTAAATATACATATATGCCTTTCGTATTCGGAATAACACCATCCATTGTTTCAAGTATTTTAAAAACGTCTTCTTGACAGATCTTTTGGCACGAAGAAAAATTTTGTCGATCGCGTGGTCGAACATCGGAGTAAACTAAACCATGACGAATTTTCGATGCAGTAGAAATTATATGTATAAGAATAAGATTCGAGATAATTTCACCACCAAACAAAAGGCACGCAGTTTTCGACAGCAATCTGTTGCGAAGTTTGGTGCACAGATGCACTCCATCCTAGGCAAGGCGAAACAAAGAAATAAAAGAGATTTGCAACTATTTGCTTAAATTAAGTGAGAACTGGAGCTTCTGCTTCGTAACGACTTAATTTCATAATTTTTATAGAGAATGATCAAAAAACAATAAAAATCTATTCACTTCAGTATATAGATTAAGTGCTCACTTGTATGAATAAGCATAATTGCGAAGATTGAAGGTAGAACCAATGCCAATGAGAAGGAATATTTACTTTGAAAGCATCAGTATGATATCTGAACGGATGATCAATGTCGAATGCGAAGAAACCGCTGGCTATTCTCATACTTCGAAGATAACGACTATCACAGTCGGTTGAAAAACCGATAATTCGAATGCCTTTTTTCTTGGTTTCTTCGTATATCCAAAGCCAGCGATTAAGTACATCTTCAGCAGTGTAAGTACCGGCAATACCATAGGCAGAAAGAAGAAAAGGTGAAGGAATTTGACCGGACGAGGTATTAAGAAGAGGTTGTAACATATGGACATTAATGAAAGAAGATGTTTGTTTTTCTTCAAACCATTTTTGAAGTTCTACATATGAATCCGTACGATGCTGATCAGGTAGGGGCTGTCCGTGTGCAAGAGGTGTATCAAAGCCAATGAATGAGTTGGACATTGAATCATAAGTCACTTTAGAAATTACACCAGTGGCATCCTCTGCAGCAAAGGCAAAAGTGAAGCCATTCGAAGAAAAATAATCATGCATTGCGTCGAACCGAAAGTGAGCCTCGTACATACGAAAGGAAGAATTTGCAAGTCTTTTTTTAATAGTGGTGATTGATGGAAGAAAACCAGGAACATTGAGTGAAACAAATCGATACGCATTTTGACCACTATAAATGAAGAGTAAAATAGCAAACTTCATAATATAGTCGGAATATTGAAAGTTATTTTTCGATCTTGTCAAATTAGTACAAATGTTGTTTAGTATTTCAATGAGTAGTGTGAGATCGTTTCGATCGGAAAGTGTATGAATATCTGTACAAAGTTTGATGAGTGAAGAAAGAGCAGGAAATTTGTTGAGAAGTTCAATAGAGAGTGTCAGATGATCAGAAGTTGACGTAATATTGGATGACGGATAGTATTCATTTTCATCGAGACGAGCTTGTTCTCTAAGAGCATTCATGAGTTCATCAACACGAGCTTGAAATCCGATCAACACTGACCATGTACCATCGTGAAGCTGTACTGCCACCTTTTCCTTGAGTTCTCGAAATTCATTTGTTGGAAGATAAACAAGAGTAAACAAATCATTTACTCGAAGAAGAGTTTGTATGTCGGGAATTTTTTGTGCTATAACAATATCGAGGACTTCTTGACCACAATGAGAACGAATAAGGTCGAACAGATCAGATGAAGATATCGAAAGTATAGGAGAAGGAAGTTTCAATGTCGACATTTGTGTCTATAATAAAATCTAAAAAACAAAAAAAAGGGAATGAGTACGAGTTGATTATCTTAGTAGTGCGTTAACTAAAGAAGTTCAATCAAAAATACATCCTGTTTCATTTTTCTCTAATACCGAACAAAACCGAAGATAAACCTCACTTGTCTAAGTCAAGCTATTTTATTTTACCTGTATGTCCTAAAATGTATATTACACATGTATAAAAAAAAAGGAAGAATAAATAATAGCAACAAAGGAATAAAAAACAAGAGAATTGAGAAAGATAATTTACATAAACAATAATAAAAAATGGTCTCTACTATGTTTACTATGTATATCGTTGTCGTTTGCTTGATGTTGTAACCACTGTTGACCGAATTGAAGAGGTAGTTCGTTTGTTTGTCGCTCGAGTATTCGACGGAGCCGGTAAAGAAGAGGATGAGTTTTGATCATCGTTCTCATTGTTGTCCATGTCTGAATCGTTTAACGATGAAAAAAAAGTAGCAATAGGAAGTGAATGACTGGAAATTGTCGAGGTCAGTACGTTACATCTCTTCGAACTCTTCCAGTGTTTGTAGAGATTTGACAGATTAAACGTATTATCAGTCAATTTTCGAATTGACATACGGGTGTCACATTGACAGATCATGGTAGCAATATCAGCTGAAGAAGAAAGCTGTAGTATATAATCCTTCCCTTCCACTAATTGTAAAGTGTTCGATCCACTCAAGATTTTTTGACTGGTAATCCATTTGTCGATAGATGAGATAATATTTGATCGATAATCGACGGTCGGTGAAACAGTAGGACTAGAATTTGTAGTTATTGATGAAGAAGTAATTGTAGCAGTAAGATTAGTTGTAGGTGTTGAAAGAGAAGATCGACATTTCGGAGCATCTTTTGCATCTTGAAAGTGCTTCTTTTGAAATAATTCAGTTAAATACTCAATTTGTCCAACAATACCAATATGAATTACATACGAATTGTTATGATCCTGATTCAATTTTACGCACACATCGTGTCGAATATCATCAAAAGCTGATGTAGGAAGAAGAATAGGTGCCAAAATATCCTTACAAAGAAGAAAAGTATTGATCGAGTTGATAAATTGATATTTGAGTATGCGAGCGACATAAGAAGACGTCAGTTTCTCGACAAGAGAGTAGAATTGATCGTCCTTAAATATCAGTGCATCTTGTGGCAAAACATCGATCGAAACTTTAGGCTTGAATGTCGACATATCACAAGATGAATACAGTAGAAAAACGAAAAAAAAATGTACCGTAAAAAATGATAACGAGTTTGAACTGACTAGCTATTTCCTCTTATTCACTAGCGTCGGTCAAAAGAGAGAAATAAAGAGATAGTCAGAGAGAGTAAGAAAAAAAGAGTTAGACAGGAAGTGAAAAGAAAGAAGAAAAAGAGTTAGACAGGAATTGAAAGAAAAGAAATGTTCATAGAGACGATCAGCCAGTCTGTTGAACGTTAATAGTTATATTTCAGCTCTGTTGAGAGGTGTATGTTATCTTATGACTATTTTTTTTTAATATTTATTTTATTGTTCCCATAAGGGTTAACAAATGATAAATTCACAGTTTTCTTTCACGACATGTAAACTTTATGATGTAGAAATAGGAATGTATTTTAGAATAATGTATTCTAGAAGGAATGAAGTATTTTTGAAATGACAAAATAATCCTCTGTGTGCATTCATAAATGAAAGACATTCGTGGTATGTATGGTTTGCTCGTTTATAGAATCTATGTGCGAATTTACTGTTTTTCCTCAGACCCATACTTCTATAGTATTCTTTTGAAGGATCTGTTGCTATTAAGAATGCTGTCCATGTTTATCTATACGAATTTGCTTCTGGTGATTCGTTCAACTGTTTTTGGAAACGAATCCAATATTTATAAAGATAATCTCTTAATGTTAGTTTTCTACTCAATATCTTATGACTATTTCTTGCAAGATGAACTCGTGTTTCTTTTATTCACGACACTGGAAAGTTGTTTATGCACCTTCCTCATACTTGAATTTATATGTTAGAATAAGACATTCTATTTTAATCTCTGGCCACTTTCAAGATCTGTTGAATTTTTGCGCACTTTTCTACATTTTTGAATTTCTAAATCTGTTACGACGCGTCTGAATTGAAAAACTTCTAATTGAATTTTATGAACAGATTGCTTTGGATTAAATTACAAAAATATGCACTTCTTTCTTTCTTTGTTTTAATCTCAAATATAGCATCAATATTCAATAAGCTAAAGCAAGGGGGAATTAAGGCAAGATCTTTCCACAGTCGGTGAGAACTCGAATACGATCGTTATAGAGAACGTTATCAATAGTGACATCTGTAAAAAACTCTCTTACTGTGTTGAAAAGACTCATAAGCTTTTTTTAGGTTAGAGATCTGATCTTTCGAACAGAATTAATCTCCATATAGGAGTATGACAATCAGATTGTTGAATAAAGATTTAGAGTAGATTATATATGATAATGTGATATATGCCTTTAGAAAACTAGTAAAACTATTGAAGTATGATGAACTATCTTATATTCTGACGTTCCAAACTTAGAGTGAAGCCACATTCCCCAGTCGCGCTAGAGTCACAGAAGAGCCACATAGAAATCATGTGAGTCAACTATAAGTTACATAAAATCACACAAATTCTAAGTCCGTTTTTTCCCATTGATTCAAGCCTTTGATACAATCGGATTTACTCATATCGGTTGACCAAACTATTTAACCTGGCCATTTTGAGATCTGTCACGATAAAATATCCAACCAGCTCTATTTCTTCGGTTGAACGAAACTTGCTCTG